TAAACACGGCGTTCACACGTGTTGGTAACGTGGTGCACCAATATATACATATATGCACACAAATGAAAAGGGGAAGTTGTATCCTCGCAATGGTTCACTACAAAGATGATATTAGTGGTGGTGAAGTGACCTTGGCAGTCAGGAATCCGGTCTGACAACATGGATCGACACAACCCACTGGCGTAAGAGCCACGGCTTTTATAACTGAACGACTTCTTCAATCCCATTCGCGTAAAAGGCAAGAGAAAATGAAGGAAAACATGTCAACACTCGAAACACTCAATGATTCTATCTCAGCAATTTTTTTTTTCTCTTTTTTTGGTAGGGAATCAGGAAATTGAGAATAAAGGACATTAATCGTTATTTTCGATTTAATACTAAGTATTTATTTTTTTAATAATGATTTTTTCGCTTTTATTTATTTAATTATTATTTTTATTTTTTGTACTATTTTTATTATTTATAAAGTCAAATTTACTACAGAAATAGTAAAATTTACTCCGAAAATAGTAAAATTTACTCTTCAAATAGTAAAAATTATTCCGGAAATAGAAAATTTTATTATTTGTGGAGTAAAAATATTTTTGTACTATTAATATTATTAATATTACTTATATAGTACAATTTACTCCAGAAATAGTAAAATTTACTCCGAAAATAGTAAAATTTACTCCTGAAATATAAAAATTTACTCTTGAAATAGTAAACAAGTTGTAAATTCAGATGTTCATTACATGAACATTTTGCTGCCTCTTTACGATCAGCGAAAAAATTTGCTTCCTCGTGGAGAAAGCAAAATTTTATTGACAAAATGTAAATTTTTGATTTTTTAACTTTCATTAATTCTTTCAATTTACTTCAAATGTATACTATATATATATATATCGATCGATTCGTCTTGACGTAAGGAACACAATTATTTCATATATAAACTTCAATTTAAAAAATCACTAAATTTTATAGCCAAAATGCGAATTTTTTATTTTTAAACTTTCATTAATTTTTTAAATTTACCTCAAATGAATACTTTACATATATATCGATCGATTCGTCTTGATGTAAAGAATACGATTTTATTATATATAACCTTAAATTTTTCTATTTAAAAATTTTTTTGAAAAAAAAAAATTTTTGGAATAAAGACCATAAAATTTTTTTTTTTGGAGTATTTTTCAAAATCCTTTGGTCTGATTTGAGATATTAATAGGATAAATGAGCCTACTAAATTTTATCTAAATCCATTAAAACCTGTTAAAGTTATCTTCTAAACAAAAAAGGGATCCGCACACACACACACACACACATACATACATCCGGACAATTGATCAGGATCTCATATAACATGTTTCTATAAAGAAAAAAATTTGTTTCCGCCACTTTGAAAAGTTTTATAAACGAAAGGACTACAAAGCTCCCTCCACGAGGAAGCAAAATTATTCCGGAAATAGAAAAATTTTTTCTTGAAGTAGTAAAAATTATTCCGGAAATAGTAAATTTTAGTATTTCTGGAGTAAAAATTAACAGAAATGCGCAGAAACAATGAACAGTTCCGATTTTACTTTTAAAATAATAAAAGTTATTTTATTTGTTTTTACATTTTTCTCCGCTGCAGAAATATGTTTCTTCGAATCAAAGAAATAATTATTTAAATCAAAGAAATTTTTTAAGAAAATTTAGTTGATTTAAAAAAACATTTTTTTATTCTAAATAAAATATTTGAAATTAAAAACTTATTTTTGATGGTGAAAATAAATTGAATAATAAAGAAGATCAAAGAATAAAAAAAAAATAAAAATAAATTTTTTTTTCTACAACAATGGAACGCGTGTATTTATATAATTCATATGCATCATTTGAATTCACTTGATATGAGAAGAAACTTGATTTACATAAGTTAATGCAACTTTTATGTGGCACGTGACAGAGAAGAAAACTGGATTTCATTAGCGATTCGACAGTTGGAAGAGTTTAGTCATGTTTTGCATCAACAAAGTAGCACCTGTGTTTATACACTAAAAGGAAAAAGAAAGAAAGAATGAAAGAAAGAAAGAGAGAGATGGATGACTAGGAATTTCATGTCACCATTCAGATATATTATAAAAGGAGAGGATCAGGAAAGAAACATCATGAAGAAGAAGAAGAAGAAGAAGAAAAAAAAAAGTAAAGATGATAATAATAAAAAAAAAAGATGAATTACTGGAGTAGTCATTAGGAATTCAACCAATGATATGAAAGGATCTCATATATATATATGTACACACATATGTATAATATTTTGTGCACGTGTTGAATCTGAACACACATAAAGAAAAATGTTGAAATTCCTTGAATAGCCAGACGAGAATTGTGGGAGAGAGAGAGAGAGAGAGAAAAGAGAGTTGTGGTCCTTCCCAGTTAGCTGAATCTTTGTTATTTCATGATGAAAGAAATTAGGTAGTCATCATAAATTATCTGTTTGACAACCAATTTTAACCGCGAAAAAAGAATTATGAGGATTTCTTTTTTATTTTCAAATTAATCATTCCTTTATTTCCCTTACAATAAATCTAATCCTTGGGATCTGCGATAGGCAAAAATTAAATTTTATCTTTTTAAAAAAATTTAAATTAAAAATTACTAAGGAAATTTTTGTTACCATAAAGAAAGAAACTATTTTTTTCTATGTATTTTGTTTAACGAGGAAAAAAAACAAATTTACCTGAAACGCAGCAAAATGTTTTGCAAAAGTTTTAATTTAGTTGAAATCTTTTACTATTCCAGTGAAACTTTACGCTGTTGCAAATAAATTTTTTTTCCCCCATAAATATATTATTAATAATGAGTAATAATAATAATAATAATTTTTTTTTATTATATTATTTATTTATTACTTATTACTAATAATAATAATGAAAAAAATTAATTACTTTCTTTTAGAAAAAAAATATATAATGGAAAAAATTCATTTAGAATTTTTTGAGTGACGGGTATAGAAAAAAAAATTAAATACAGTGAACGTGTGTGTAATTTTATATTTAAAAATACAATTTAGAGGTTTTCTGTCGTGTGTGTGTATGTGAGCATATTTCTTGTCATAATGTTGTGCTTTTTAAGGGTTGAAAATTACGAGGCGGTAACGTTGGACTTAAAACATTAAAATATTGTACTCTCTCTCTCTCTCTCGCTCTTTCTGTTTTACATTATAATTTTTTTGTAACTGTCCCCGCGAACGGATTAACGAGCGGAACGACGAAGGGAGCACACCAAGTTTTCTCTCTCCTTCTCTTGGTCCCGTCTAAATGGATTTTTAAAAGCGCTTTGATCATTCCGTATACCGAATAACGGAGTTAGACGAGCAAAAACCTTGCAAAACTTTGTCTCTCTCTCTCTCTCTCTTTCTCTCTCGTAAATCGTCGAGCTTAACGATGCCAGGTCGCGACACTTTGATTGATTTTAAAGAGCCACCAACTCTCTTTTCAAAATGGAATTTAATTATGTCGCTGATTTTTGATTAGATGGAGGACCAAAAAAAAGGAAACACAAAAAAAAATTGTCGAATAGAACATTTTAAAATAATGTCCCAATTCTCTCTTTTTCTTTTTAACTATATACTTTAGACAATGTGAAAAAAAAATTTATTTGATTTAAATAATCGCTTGACTATTATCAAATAAATATTTATTTCTATTAAATAAATATTTTATTTTTATTGAGTAAATATTATATTTGTAATTTTAAATAATTATTATATTTGTATTAAATAAATATTTAATTGAACCAAATAATTTTTATTTTAATTAAATTGTAATGATAAAAATAAGTGTTGGATTAGCTCGCCGGATCAGGGTTCGTTTTTAAACAACGATATTACATTAAAATTACAGACACAATTCGAAAAATAACGTTTATTAACAAAAAAAGGACGACATAACCTAAAAATTCCTTACTTAAAACGCGATTACAAAAAAAGTACGATATAAACGATTTTACAATAATGGCACACTCACACCTTTTTTGGCTGCCTGCCTGCCTGCAGGTTACCATGGCAACGCACGAGTGTGAGTGAGACAGAAAATTTGAATATTCAAATTTTTAAATTTTCTGTCGCACTCACTCTCATGCGTTGCCATGGTAACCTGCAAGCAGCCAAAAAGGTGTGAGAGCGCCTTAAGAATGTACGACGAGAAAAATTTAAATATGAAACGATCAAAAAATACGGATTACATTAATTTACGTTACTCTCTAAATATGAATTAGTAAGAATGTTTACTAATTTAAATTAGTGACTTACTTTTTACTTTAAAATTAGTTACATTATACTAATTGTTAGTAAAAGTTATTAATAATTAGTAAAATTTGACTAATTCAGAAGCAAAAAGTAAGTCACTTATTCAAATTAGTAAACATTTTTACTAATTCAGATTCAGAAAGTACGTTACGTTCCCTACGTCGTAGGAACGGAAACGACGACGAACAACTACGCCAGGGGTTATATAGCTGATTGGTGGCCGGGACGCTTGCGAGAGAGCTCGGCGGTATAGCTCTCGCGGCGCGATCGGGTACTACGACATACTTTGCGGTCGGTAACATTTTATCGACATGGGGTATATACTTTTATCGATGTGGGGCACATATTTACCCGCGAATTTTTAAACAATTTTTATAAAATATTGTTTATTTGAAATACAGAAATTATTGTTTAAAATACAATTTAATTTAAATAAAAATTATTTGGTTCAATTAAATATATTTATTTGATTCAAATAAATTTTTATTTGATTCAAATAAATTTTTATTTGATTCAAATAAAAAAATTTTATTTGCACCAAATAAATATAGGCTAGTGTGAGATAAATATATGTTTATTTAACTCAAATACATTATATTTGGTTCAAATAAAACATTTCTCTGGATGAAGTAATCGATTAATAAATTTTTGTTGAGCAAAATTAAAAAAATTAAATATATAAATTAAATTTGTTTATAAATTTAATTAGAAATTGTAATTAAATGCAACAAACTTTTACATAAAACAAATTTTTCTTTATTATTATTTGAGAAACAAATTTTCAGTACACGTTAAAAATTAGTAAACTAAAAAATATCTTATAATTAATTAATAATACATAATGTAGGATTACAAATTTTCTATAAAATCGCAAAATATTATATTACCAATTATTTGCTTCAAACTATAGTATTTTAACTGAAATATTTAAATGAAAATTTATTTGATTCAACTAACTGATGATTTGAATCAAATAAATATTTTTTTTTCAATGATATTAATTTGATGCACTATTTACTGTGATAAGAATAAGATTTTGTTTCTTTATTATTCCACGAAGATGTGCTTATTGAAGAACCAATTTTTATTGAATCTTGATAAGTATTTTTCACGGTATATTTAGTACCTTCTAAGTTGTTTCCAATTGAAAAAACAATAGTTTTTACTATCCTTGGCTTACCATTGACAGTCTATAATTTTAATAAAAAAAAAAAAATTCAGTTATTTTTTATAATTATTTTTTTTTATGGAAAAACTGTTTTATTTAGAAATAAATTACTTAATTTTTGTCGCAAACAGAAAATGTAGTCTTAATTATTCGTTTAAGTAAATGCTTTTTTATAATAATATTCGAGAAATTAAAAAATTTTAATTTTAAAAAAAAAGATGATTAAAAATACATTATTTGAATATAATTACCATAGTTTGAATATTTGTATTTGATGACTTTAAATTGTAAGGAGGATTTCCATTTTCTACTTGATCTGCTATTTTTAAAATCTCATTTCGACTTAATGTATTTTTATTTTTAGTCTCAGTGTCTGTATACGTTGGCCTATGTTGAATTGGTTTTCTTATTCCAAAATCAGAATTTTGAAGCCTTTTATTATAATCCGACCAAAAATCTATCGAATGAAAAATATAATAAAAAATATTATAATAATAATATAATAAAATTTAAATTTTACCATTCTTTATTTATTTTTACTTTTTATAATATTAACAAAAAAATATACAAATTTTAAAATTATGTCGAGTTTTTTTTTGTTATTGTATTTATTTATTTTTTTTTTTTTTAATTTTACCTGATTTCACGCTGACGAAGAAAATGGCAAGAATAACAAATATTTGAAAATTCTTCATGATGAATTGTTGTTGTTTATTATTAAATAATAAATTCGAGAAAAATACCGTTTTGATGTTTTTTTGAATTTAAGATTCACAGGCAAGAATTTTCGATTAGTGATTTGTGATAAAAAATGTTCAACTTATATACTAGTTGCTATTATTGATAATTTTATTAATTTTTAGAAAATTTTATTTGAATTCATTTAATTTACATATATTGTTTGCATTTCCGCATTATTTTTTGCTTCCTAAATTAGAACGCCTATTTATATTATTAAGAAATTAGTCATTGATTTTATTTCAAATATTTATATTTAATATTAAGAAATAAAAATTAGGAAAAAATTTTTGAAATACAATTTGTTATCTTTTATTTGCGTCAAAGTGAAATCGATTAAATTTTATAAACCATTGTTTTTAATCTACATTTAAAGAAATGTAAATGTAAATTAAATTTTCTACTGCGCAGTGGGAAAGAAAAAATTACGGAAATAGAAAGAATAAAAAAAAAAAAAAAATTTGTTTGAATATTTAAATTGTGTATGTATAAATTAGACAATGGGAATTTTTTTTTATTTGTTATAGATAAGAGAACAAAATTTTCTATTATTAAAGTCGATAATTTTGTTTATTACTATATTCAGTAATAGATTCTAAATAGAACGATTAGATATAAAAAATAAAATTTAAAAATTTAAAAATATATTCTCAAAAAAAATTTAATATCAAGAAATAATCGAAGAATTTTGCAATATTTTTTATAGTAACCTTTTTCTTTGCCAGCGTAAAATTAGGTAAAAATTTAAAAAAAAATTCTTGGTAGAAAAAAATTAATCAAACTTTGTATTAGAAAAAAATTATAAATTTTTTTTTTTTTTTTTTATAAATTATTGTGTCTTTAATCATCCTTTTTTTTATAACAATTAAATTTTTATAAATTATTACACCCAGAGAAATTGTTTTATTTGAATTAAATATAAAATATTTGAATTAAATTAACGTACACTCAGAAAAAAATTCGTTTGAAGCAACCAAATTTTGGTTAAATCAACAAAATAAATGCATTGATATACAGTTAACCAAACATTTGGTTGTATAAACCAAACGTTTATTTAGCTCAATCATATTTTTTTCTTTGTTCAAAAAATTTATTAAAATAAACCAAATAGTTATTTAGATCAAATAAATATTTATTTGAATTAAACAAATTTTTTTTTGAACTAACCAAAAAATTGGGTAAATAGAAAAAAAAAAATGGTACATTTGGTTGAAACGTATCTTTTTTCTGTGAGTGTATATTTGTTTCACACTAGTCTATATTTATTTGGCGTAAATAAAATTTTTTTATTTAAATCAAATAAAAATTTATTTCAATAAAATAAAAATTTATTAAGGCTCTGAGAAAAAAATATATCATTTCTCGTGGGTGGACTAAAATTATTTCCTTTAAAATAATAATAAATATTTATATTTCGTTTTCCATCAACAATAAAATATTTTATTTAGCGTAAATAAAATTACAAATAAATATATATTTATTTGACTCCAAGTCAAATAGAAATAAAATTTTTTTAAATTGTTTTTTACTTTTTTGAAACCGGAAACTCACACGTTTTTTTTTTGTTTGTAACGTTGAAAATTATTTTGAATTTCTTAGCGAGTTAAAATGCAAAACGATATTTTTATACCTAGGTGAAAAGGGGGATTTTTTATTTTTTTTATTTTTGAAATTGACTTGCCTATTTGAAATGATTCATTGCTTGACGAGAGAAAAGAGAGGAATGGGAAAAGAATAGAAAAGCAAATCGAGCGCGAAGACGTTTTGTATATATATATATATATGTATATATTTTTATAAATATAGTATATCTGTATGTTTGCGTCATTCTCTCAGCTTTCCATGGCAAATTGCTACCCGTCCCGGTAATAATTTCGCAGTGCAATATCTTACGCATTCCATCGGAACTTGAAGTTTCTTCGCGCGTTTAATCTCACGGGCGAAGCTTGCTCGCGAACATCACACAGTCAAGGTTCAACCGGTCAAGTGTAGGGTCGAGTTCGAGAATCGAGTATCGTGATTGTAAAAGCAAACACGTCTGACAGCTGATAACAAAAAAGAAATAAAAAAAAAAAATAAAAATTAAGTTTCGTGCTCAAAGAACGCGGAAAAGAATAATTATATATATTCCATTTCACACCGGAAGTATATTTATATCCTATATAAAAAAAAAGTTATGGGAGAAAATTTTTGTCAGCAATAATATTAATTTTTACATTTTTGTTTCTTTTTTTTTCTATACTTTTTCACTGTACTGAAAAATAAAAAATTTTTTTGAATCAAATAAATTTTATTTTTGTTTATTATCCCAGGTGGAAAAGTTCCCGGTAGTCATTACCGCTCCCGCTACCGGAACACTCACTACCAGTAGTCATTACCGGTAATTTTTCCGGGAGTTACAATCAAAATTTGTTATTTGGTAATAAATTTTGATTGTAATTCAAGGAAAAATTACCGGTAATGACTACCGGTAGTAACGAAAAAATTACCGGTAGTAACTAAAGGTAGTACCGGAAGTCCCGGAAAAATTACCGGTAGTGCCTACCGGTAGTACCGGATGAATAACCGGTAGTCCCGGAAAAATTACCGATAGTAACTACCGATAGTACCGGAAAAATTACCGGTAGTGACTACCTACCGGTATTCCCGAAAAAATAACTGGTAGTGCCTACCGGTAGTACCGGCAAAATTACCGATAGTAACTACCGATAGTACCGGAAGAATTACCGGTAGTGACTACCGGTAGTCCCGGAAAAATTACCGGTAGTGCCTACCGGTAGTACCGGGAAAATTACCGGTTATGCCTACCGGTAGTAACTACCGGTAGTACTGGAAGAATAACCGGTAGTGACTACCAGTAGTCCCGGAAAAATTACCGGTAGTGGCTACCGGTAGTCCCGGAAAAATTACCGGTAGTGCCTACCGGTAGTACCGGGAAAATTACCGGTTATGCCTACCGGTAGTAACTACCGGTAGTACTGGAAGAATAACCGGTAGTGACTACCAGTAGTCCCGGAAAAATTACCGGTAGTGGCTACCGGTAGTCCCGGAAAAATTACCGGTAGTGCCTACCGGTAGTACCGGGAAAATTACCGGTTATGCCTACCGGTAGTAACTACCGGTAGTACTGGAAGAATAACCGGTAGTGACTACCAGTAGTCCCGGAAAAATTACCGGTAGTGGCTACCGGTAGTCCCGGAAAAATTACCGGTAGTGCCTGTCGGTAGTACCGAAAAAATAACCGGTAGTGACTACCGGTAGTGCCGGAAAAATTACCGGTAGTGCCTGCCGGTAGTACCGGAAAAAATACCGATAATAACTACCGATAGTACCGGAAGAATTACCGGTAGTACCGGAAAAATTCCCGGTAGTGGCTACCGGTAGTGAATATTCCGGTAGCGGTAATGACTACCGTTAGTCACTACTGGGAATTTTTCCACCTGGGATCAAATAAATATTAACTTGAACCAAATAATTTCTATATTTAAATCAATTTAATGGTATTTGTTTTAAATACAAAATTTATTAATTATAGTTTATTTAATGTAAATAAAAAATTATTATTGATTTAAGTAAATATTTAGTTGATAGTAGTTAACTAAACGATTATTTGAATCAAATAATTTTTTTTTCTGTCAGTGTATGAAGTAAATAAATAATAAAAATAAAAAATAATTAATAATAATATAACAAACGTTAGAAATTAAGTCAATTTATAATTAGAAAAGAGAATTAAATTAGCTGCGTGAAAAATAATTATATATAATATAAACCTATTTTGCGATATTAAACCACGTGCGTAAATGAGATTAAAGGCAACTTACGTATAGAAACTTGAGCTACATAAGAAACAATGAACAACATACCGCAGTCTGACGTTTATAATGGCTTTGTATCGGGTGACTCACTTAATTACTCGAGTTGATTGAAATCACCCTTTTCCTCTTAAATTATTATCGGTGAAAAAAAAAAAAAAAAATAAAATAAAATTCTTCGACAATAATTGCATTTCAGGGTATTAATTTTTTTTTGTTTCTTGAAAAAATATTTTTTTTTCCACTTTAATTCTTAATTATTTTTATTCATATTACAATTTATATTATTATTATTTTTTTTATTATTATTTTGTCTGAGGGATAAATAAATATTTTTTTTTCAAATAAATGTTACTTGGTACAGATAATAATTATTTAATTCAAAATAGTATATTTAGTTCGAATAACAAATTTCTCTAAGTTTTACTAGTACAGTCTCTTACAATGGTATTAAAAAAAAATTTCCATAAGAAACTTTCACTCTATTTTAACATATTGAATCTGGATCATTTCCGTAAATTCTATTGGCAAATCAGAGATACATGCCTTTATTTCAAATGTTCTGTTGAATTGAAAAGAAGCCGTATATATATATATATATATATATATATATATATTGCAAATTGTAAGAGTAAGAACATAAGAGAAAGAGAGACAGAGAGTATATATAAGATTCGAAATGACCTTTTGTTTCTATATTCGACAGAATCATGTGCATTAAATTCACTTCTGACTCGAGACGTGAATATAAAGAGTATATATAAGAAGCAGTGAGCAAAAAATGAAAAAAATAAATAAATAAAAAGATAAAATATACATGGAGACAGTAGAATATCTTGAGTATCGGGTTCACTTTATGTAAATTTTTTTTTACCCTTTTTTACATTTTTTTTTTTACTGTATTTTTTTCTTTTTTCATTTTTTTTCTTTTTCGTTTCTTTTCTTTTCTTTTTTTTTTTTTTTTTTTTTTGACTGACAGACGATATGAATCCTAAGAGATAAAATGCATTGAAAATGATTTAGTCTGAATATTCTTAGATCGCGCGTGCCTTTTGAGTTGAATGTCCGGTGAGTTCAGGTGCAAACAGCAGGTGTGCATCATTCACTCTGAAAAATAGTTTGACGAACCCTTCAAGGGGAAATAAGATTTTTATATATACAGATGTTATTTTTGACGATAAAAAATAAACAGATTTTTCAATTTAAAAAAAAAAAATTTATTTTTTATTTTTTTTTTTAATTTAATAAATA